TAGAATAGAATAGAATAGAATAGAATAGAATAGAATAGAATAGAATATGGAATGGAATGGAATAGAATAGAATAGAATAGAATAGAATAGAATAGAATAGAATAGAATAGAATAGAATAGAATAGAATAGAATAGAATAGAACAGAACAGGAATAGCATCACATAGCATAGCATAGAATAACTGGAAGGGATCTTGGAGGTCTTCTAGTCCTACCCCTCTGCTCAGGCAGGAAACCCTATACCATTTCAGACAAATGGTTGTCCAATCTCTTTCTTAAAAACTTCCACTGTTGGAGCCTTTACAACTTCTGGAGGCAAATTGTTCCATTGATTAATTGTTCTAACTGTCAGGCAATTTCTCCTTAGTTCTAGATTGCTTTTCTCCTTGATGAGTTTTCACCCATTGCTTCTTGTCCTGCCTTCAGGTGCTTTGGAGAATATATTGACCCCCCCCCACCTTCTTTGTGGCAGTGCCTCAGATATTGGAAGTCTGCCATCATGTCACCCCTAGTCCTTCTTTTCACTAGACTAGACATATCCAATTACTGCAACCATTCTTCATGTATTTTGATCATTTGATTGTTTTGTCTATTGTTTACAAGGCTCTCCCTCCCTTCCTCCCTTCCTTCCTGTTAGAAATAACATAGGTTACCTAACGTAGTTTGGGTAAAATAATATATATAAACTATGATTGTAAGTTTAAGTGTGTGTCACTTTAAACTGCAAAGTATGTAATTTTGGGTGCGGTTGTGAACCACCATAAGAGGGAGCAAGAGAACCTGACGATTCCCTGACGATTGACTGGTTTGATGGATTGATGGTTTGTTAACTGCGTGTTTTTCCCTACTGCTGAGTTGCTGAAGGAAGAGAGGAGTTTTGACTTCTTCATATCTCTACTGCGAGGAGATATATTACTGGACTGATATTTGTAAGTTTACTGACCTCTTTTTCGACACTGGACTTTGCAACTGAATAATCCCTGGATGGACTGAACTAGTGAATGATATATGGACTGTTTGACTATGCTAAAACTCTTACTGGAATAAACTATTTAACTAGCACTGTGTATCTGTTTTACTGAGTGTAAGCTACAAAAACGTTTATCTCACATATTTTGCCTGCCTGCCTGACTGCCGTGCAGATTCTGCTAGGGTGTATCCCTAACATTTCCTCCTTCCCTTCCCTTTCTCTTTCTCTTTCCCTTCTCCTTTCCTTCCATTCCCTTCCCTTCCCTTTTCCTTTCTGTCTCTGTTTCCTATTCTTCCTCTTTTTCCTTGTTCCTTTCCTCCTTCCTCCCTTCTCCCTCCATTTCCATTCTTTCCTTCCTTTCCTTTCTTCCTTTCCAAATGTGTGCTTACCAATGCATTATAAGCGGTACTAACACTCCACATCATCCTGATTCTATCCCTCCTTTCTTTTTGATAGCATCTTCCAAGCATCCCAGCCAACAGGGCAGCTAAGAACCGTGGTGGTGCAGCATTGTAAGCTAATTCTGCTGACTGCCAGCAGTTCGATTCTGACCAGCTCAAGTTTGACTCAACCTTCTATCCTTCCAAGGTCAGTCAAATGAGGACCCAGGTTGTTGGGGGCAATAGCTGACTGTAAACTGCTTAGAGAGAGCTGTAAAGCACTATAAAGCGGTATATAAGTCTAAGTGCTATTACTATATTTGCATGGATTGGGCAACCATTTGACTGGGATGAGATCAGGCTCCTGACTTTATGATTCTAAGATGGCCTTCAGATTGGAATAGAATATTTCTTCTTTTCTTTTTACAATATTTTTTTTATTTTTTATTACAACAAACATCATTGTATGAACAGTGTGGTTCCGGAGTGTCTCACATTTTAGTACAAATATGACAATATTCTTCATATTTAATACAGTTGACAATCTTTTAAAATTTGATAATAATACCTATATTTTGTTAAATTATCGACCTTAATTCTTCAATATTACAGCATGTTATTTTTGTGTCAGTTTCTATATTCTTAACATCACTCCTTTTACTACAGATTATATATTAATAATCATATTAGCAGTGTTTAACAGGAAGTACTATTAGTTAAGATATATAACCGCTAAATGTAATAAATATGAATATTAACATTCTATTGTAAGAAAAAGAATGATATATGGAATTGGATTGATATAAAAATAATATTGTGAAGTATTGTATAAGATAACAAAGGTTATAATTTAATAAAAATAACTGTAATATTACAATTGCATAACTTGTCAAAGGTAAATATGAGGAATACTATTTTACTTGTATTAAGATGTGATTAGAAAGGGGATTTAAAAAATACATATAATAGTGGCATCATTAAAAATAGAAAAGGGAATAAACCGTGGAAAATTATAATTTAATATAAATTTGTGAATTGTTATTAGAACTACATAATTTGTTAAGCACTGGAATAGCATTTTTCATGCTTCCCTGTGAATTCTGGAAATTTAGGCCCCCGGTAAAGTCCACTTTAAACTATCCTCTAGTAGAGAATACACATTGCTTGAGTTTGGAATGTGCGGGTTCTAAGTTCTCTCTGAGTTTAGTTTTTTTGGGCGAAAAGAATCAGATGGAAGTATGGCCTGGCCAATGTGAATAACAGAATTCTTACCACCTAGCTCCTGGTGAACTCTGGGGTTAATTATGTACAAGTAATTTTTTTTTAATTAAAATAACCCTTATTAAACAAATTCTACAATTAAAAACAGTTAAAAACATATTTCAATTCATTGCAGTGCATTTGTAGTAGCATTCACTCACTTTGATATATTCTTTAGTATGTAGAATATTGCTAAATATTTTTACAATTATTTTACATTATATTTATATCATATTTATGTTTGATTTATGTGATACGGTATTTACATAATTATTTACATATTTATACATAGTTATGCTTATTCATACCATATTATTTCATCTCACCATAACCTTTCATTCAGGGGTGGGATTCAATTCTTTTAACAACTGGTTCTGTGGGCGTGGCTTAGTTGGTGGTCATGGCTTGGTGGTCATGTGACTGGGTGGACTCTGTGTGCAATGTGACTCTGTAAGCAACACCAGAATGTTTCCTTCCTGCCCTCCTTACAGAATTAGACCAGTAATTTCTTCTAACAACCGGTTCTCCAAACTGCTTAGAATGTTAACAACCAGTTCTAGCAAATAGGTGCGAACTGGTAGAATCCCACCTCTGCTTTCCTTCATTTCTCTGTTTGTGTCAACCTTGCAACCAATTATACCATAAATTCCAAATTTCATGGTACTCTGTCTCTTCTCCCTCCTTCATTTCCATTGAAAGCCTATCCATTTCTGCACATTCTAAAACCATTTTTATTATCATAATACCGGAGGGAATGCTGTCACAAATAATGTACAAATGATTCTTAAATTCATGTCTTTCCTTATTTCCTAACATCTGATGGGTCCTTAAAGGTGACCTCCACTGCATGAATGTTTCACTTCAAATAAGAACTCTTTTTACCTGTGGTTCGATCTTCCAGTTGTTTGTTCTTCCTCTCCCACCTGATTGATATTTATACGCTGAGAATATAGGGATGCGCCGTTCTTTGTCGTACAGTGTGGCAAACCGATACTTGCCCCGGTAGAACTGGCAGATTGTGGCCAGATCCTTTGGCATCAGTGACAATTTGGGGGGTTTACGGTTTAAAAAAAACTGAGTGCAGGTTTTGAAATTGTCCACCACCTCCCCAGTTGCAGGCAGGAGAAAAGAGGCAGCCAGGGAGAGGGTCCACAGAGGAAACATGGCTGTTTGCTTGGTTGGGTTGGTCCTTCTAGCAAAAAACAGAGAGAAAGCTCTGATTCAGCAGTTCTTTCTTTTCCATGCAGAATGTAAGAATGGCTTACCTTGAGGTTGGCTTTGGCCATGGGCACATGAAATCCAGCAACCTGGTAAGAGGGAAGCCAACCATCTCGACCAACAAATGCTCTGTCCTACACATTGGTAAAAAAAATAATCAATACACCAAAGACAAACTAGGTGGATATGACCTGGTTGATGATCCTCACTCTGTCAAGGACCTTGGAGTTCTCATATCAAATGACCTAAACGCCAGAGCTCACTGTAACAGCATTGCCAAAAAGGCATTAAGAGTTGTAAATCTAATCTTATGAAGCTTCTCCTCTGGAAATATCGAATTGCTAACTACAAAACTTTTGTCAGACCAATACTCAAATACAGCTCATCTGTCTGGAATCCACACTGCATATCAGACATTAATACAATTGAGCAAGTCCAGAAATATTTCACGAGAAGAGTACTACACTCCTCTGCTTGCAACAGAATACCCTACACCACCAGGCTTGAGATTTTGGGCTTGGACAACCTTGAACTATGCTGCCTATGGTTAGACTTAAGCATAGCACGCAAAATTACCTGCTACAATGTCCTACCAGTCAATGACTACTTCAGCTTCAACCACAACAATACAAGAACACACAACAGATACAAACTCAATGTAAACCGCTTCAAACTCGATTGCAGAAAGTACGACTTCAGAAACAGAGTGGTCAATGCCTGACTCTGTTGTTACATCCTCTAAACCCCCACTCCTTTAACCTCAAACTAACCACTATTGGCCTCACCCCATTCCTGTAAGGGGCGTGTCTACAGCCCCTGTCCTATTGTCCCCATTTATTTGTACCTATTTCCTGTAATCTTACTCATGTTTATACTTATGCCTTGTAAGCGATTGACAAATCAAATAAATAAATAAAATAAACCAGATTGCTTACAGTCTAGATGGGAAAGCCAGAATGTAGGAAGAGAAGAGCATTGTTAAACGGGTAAAGTAAGAGGAGGACGTGGAAAGAAATGGAAAGGAAGAGGGAAAGAAAAAAAGGAAAGGAAAGAGGGAGGAGAGGAGAGGAGTGAACAGTAGCTGTAAAGTGGTAAAGAAGAGAAGGGCAGGGAAAGAAAGAGAAAGGAAAGGAAAGGGGAAGGGAGAGAGGAAGGAGAAAGGGAGAGAAATGTAGTTTACTTTATTGTCATTGAATCTCGTACAACGAAATCAAACACCATCTTCAGTGCACATCATGACCATGAAAATAAACACAAACACACATCCTTCACACTCCACAGTTGAACCGAAAACCCCCGACACCTCACCAATGCTGCACTATACAGTAGGATTCAAAAGAGCTACTGCCCTGTGATAGAAGCTGTTTTTCAGCCTATTTGTTCTTGTTTTTATTATTCGGTCTTGCCAGATGGTAGTAGTTCAAAAAAAAAAGTAAAGAAAAGAAAGGAAATAAGGGAAGGGAAGGGGAAGGAAAGGAAAGAGGGAGAGAGGAAGAAGGAAGGAGGAAGGGAGAGAAAGAAAGTGAAAAAGGAATGAAGAGAAGGGAAGCGAAGGGAAAGGAAAGGAAAGGAAAGGAAAGGAAAGGAAAAATAAGAGGAAAGTTTCCCAAAGAGGTTCTAATGAAGAACAAACAGGAGTTTGATGGGAGGGGGATCAGCTGAGGAGAAGGAAAAGAGAGAAGTGAGAGGAAGAAAAACAGGTGAAAATGGTGAAGAATTTGTAGCTAATTTTGGATTGCAGTTGACAGCTTCCAAGTTGCTGCTTCAACTTTCCAACTGGGATTGATGAGATCATGGTTTGCTACTGAGTTAGCAGAGACAGCTTCAGGAGACCTATAGGGAAGCCCGATAGAGAGAGCTTAATAGGGAAGGTATTCTTGTTTTGCTTTTCTTTAATTGTCTGTTGTACATTAAAAAAAAGAGAGGGAGAGAAGTTGGCTTCTCTTACCAGATGTCTTTCTTGGGTGACAATCAAGTTTCTTTCGTAGTCAGTGCTATACCAGACTTCCTGGAAGAGGAAGGGTCTAGAGGCAAAATTGCAGAAACACACAAAAACATCCAACACCACCCCACAACTATAAGTGAAGATTGGTATTCTTGGACAAGCACAGGAAGCAAGAAGCAGAGCCAAGTGAAGGTCTGAAGAAATGCAGAAATCCCAAGGTGGTTATTTATTTATTTTTATTTATTTATTTGATTTGTCAATTGCTTTCAAGATAATAGGTATAAGTTTAAACATAATGAATAGGACAGGGATGCACACTGGTGCGCTTATGCACGCCCCCTACAGACCTCTTAGGAAAGGGGTGAGGTCAATAGTAGACAGTCTAAGGTTAAAGTTTTGGGGGTTTGGGGAAGAAACCACAGAGTCAGGTAGAGTATTCCAGGTTAAGAAGACCTCTATTAAATTCTAACTAACCAGGGAGAGAAGCAACCTAGAACTAAGGAGAGATTTCATGACCATGAGCACACCTGGAACAGCTTGCCACCAGAAGTTGTGGGTGCCCCATCACTGGAGGCTTTCAAGAAGAGTCTGGAAATGGATTTCTCCCGACCAGACAAATCAGGAATAATTTAAGAATAGTATTAGATGTTTCAGAATTTTATGAAGCCCACCCCAAAAAACAAATAGTACTTATGATTTTAGACTCAGAGAAGGCCTTCGATAACTTAAATGGGCAATTTTTAATCCAAAAAAATTATAATATGAATTTAGGCACCAAATTTGAAAATATTATAACAACCATTTATGATACACAACAGGAGAATACTATAATAAACAGGGAATATACCCGCCCAATAAAAATAGAAAAAGGAGTCAGACAGGGCTGCCCACTCTCAGCCCTGCTCTTCGTATTATCACTAGAAGCATTATTAACGCAAATTAGACAGAACCCAGACATAAAAGGATTAAAGGCTAAGAAAGTATATAAGTTGTAAGCGTTTGTGGATGATATGATTTTTTTTCACTGAAGAACCAATAGAAAGAGGACAAAAATTGATGAATGAATTAGAACAATTTGGAGCAGTAGCAGGACTTAAAATTAATAGGTTGAAAGTGAAATTAATGACGAGGTGGGGTTGCCAGGCTTCGGCGACAGCAGGGATTTGCGTTTCTTCGCGATCCCTGCTGTGCTCACCGTCTTGGTGCCTCCGATCCAGATGGATTTGGAGGATAAGGCTGCCCTGTAGAGGCTGCCGAAGATAGGGAGGATCTGGGAAGGGGTTTGGGAGTGTCGCAGACCCCCTCCTCACCCAGCTTAACCTCCTTTTCTCAAGGTGGTGCAGCGGCAGTCAGTCATGGCCGCCACCAAGAAACTGGCAGCTAGAAAAGATTGCACAGGAGGAAGGAGGAGAAGGAAGATTTAAACCATGGAAGTGTTGGCTGTACCGGGAAAATAACAGCTTCTAAAACCCTGGAGTGGAATTGTTTATTGCCTGAAAGATACATTGTATCCCTAAGAAGAGAGACAGCGGCGGAGGAAGCTGCTAAGGGAAACCTTTTTTTTTCTACTTACTCTCCCACCCCACAGAAGCATTAAATGCAGAACTGGAAAATGCATTGGGCACCAAAGATATTTTAACTTGAAAATTATCAGAGAAAGGACTTTGGACTTAACATCCTTAGAAATTGGAAAGCCCGAATTGGAGGTATGGATTTCTGAGCGTTTAAAGGGAAATTGTTGTTGTAAGTGGGGGGAGAGGAAAAAAACTTTTTGGAACAGAGCTTGAAAAAGGAGGAGACTACCTAGAATTTTAAAGAAAGATACATTTTAATGGGAACCTTTTGATCAATCAGTAACCCCATAAAGAGAAGTTGAAGAGGGTAAAAAAAAAGTATTGAAAGAAACAGTCTTTTGGACTTTTTAGTGACTTTGGAATTCTTTTGGAATTACTTTTGATTAAAAATATTTGGGTGGTTGTTTTTGAAGAAATCTTTCTCTTCAGGATGGCATTGCTTTTGGATGAATTAAAAACTCAATACCAAAAATATAAGAAAGAAGAGCAAGATGGAAAAGATTCTTGGGGCACTCTTTTTCAATTTTTAGAAATGGCGTTACGCACCTATGAAAAATTGACTACACAGCAGGATGACTGGAACAAAGAAGAAGAAGAAGCCATTTTGGATGAGCAATGGGTTCACTTTGGGGAGGAGGAGGAGGAAGAGGAAAAGAAAAAGGGGATTTTAAGGGTAGAGAAAACAATCCAAAAAGAGAAAAATGAGATGAAAGCTGGATATAAGGTTAGAAAACAACAGAAAGTGAGTAAGCAGAAGAAGAAAAGGGGGGAGGAGAGACAAGGGGGAAAAAAAGACAAGGAGAAAAATAAACAAATGAGAAAGGAGGGGATGAAAAACCTTAATGCTGGGAAGCAAGACTCTAAGAAACAAAATCTATTTAGAGACAATGGGTAATTTAAATGAAAAAAGGATTCTGGAAGGTACATAAAAGTGTGATTTTCTATGTGTATTCAGAGTAGAATGTGTATTAGTATGTATGACTTGCTCTTTTATGGTATTCCTGGTGGGTTATAGGCTTATATTTTGTAATTGTAGCCTATTTGCTTTTCTCATAAAGTTTGTGTGTGTGTGTGTGTGTAATTTTAGAATGTACTAACCAGAATCTCAATATAATTTAAGTGTTATATTAAGTATTGTGAAGTTAGGGAAAAGAGTTAAAGGTGTTACTCCAATTAGTCTACAGGAGAGTATATTTAAAGAAAAAAGATGAATGGATAACTGTAAAAGAACAGACAAAAAATGTTAAGTACTATGAATTGTATTGAGATAAGATAAATAAAATATAATTAGGAAAGATAAAAGAGGGAAGAAGTTATACAGAAAATTGAAAATGGTAATAAGATATGGATTGACATATAAAGTAAATATTCTTTTTGAATTTGTGTCTGTGCGAAGAGTTTTAACCCGGGATCAAGCAGCTTTCAGAAATGAGGTTTTTTATGTTCTATGTTATGTATGTTTTGTCTATTGTTTTTTTTTAAAAAAGGCAAAAAAATTTGATTAGTAAGAAATATAATCTGGATAACAGAATGAAAAGGAGAAATTGGGATAGGATATGAAGATGAACAGATAATGTAAATGCACATATTACATTTGGCATGTTTTATTGGTTCCTCCAGAAAGATTCTTTATTTTAATATGCCTTGATTGTTTGTATGTTTTGTAAAGTCAACAAAATTTGTTCTTTAAAAAAAAAAAAAAAAAGCTATAATAAGTCAGAGGAAAATAGAAGTGTGATGATTGAATAGCAGATGAACTAGAAAAGTAATGTTATTGAATAAGAGTAAAGAGAAATAATGTGAAATCTGTAAAATTGAAATTTATATGTTTACATTGAAATGAGATAAATTAGAAAAATGTGATATAAAATAATGTGTTACCTGCTTTGTAAAGACCTATGGGAAAGCGGGTTTTTTTTTTTAGTGTTTGATGATGTTTTGTCCTGTTTGTTTCTTGTTAAAATTAATAAAATTTGTTTAAAAAAAAAAGAAAACGAAATTAATGACTAAAAATTTAACAGGAAAACAGAAATTAGAACTAGAAGAAGTTATGAGACTACAAGTGATAAAGTTAAATATTTAGGAATATGTTTGACAGCAAGACACTAAAGGAAAACAATTATGACAAATTAATGCAACAGGTAAAGAAGGATTTAGAAACATGGGGCAAACTGCAACTTTCACTATTAGGCAGGATTGCTGCTATTAAAATGAATATTCTTCCAAAATTCCTCTATATATTTCAGATGATTCCAATTAAAGTACACAAAAAGTTTTTTGAAGAACTTAACAAAATAACTGCAAAATTCATCTGGCAAGGGAAAAAAACCTAGAATAAGTTTAAGGTAATGCAGGATATGAAGAGCAGGGGAGGGCTGGCACTCCCAAATTGGGAGTTGTATTATAGTGCGGCCTCTTTAGTATGATTGAAGGAATGGGTGAATTTAACCAATAAGAGAATATTACTCTTAGAAGGCCATGACTTACAAAGGGGGTGGCATGCTTTTTTATGGGACATTGGGAAAACTAGCCAGAAATACTTTCATAGACACCTAACCAGAGATTCATTATTGTCTAATTGGAGGAAAATACGGAAAAAACACTACTTACAGATACCAATCTGGATCTCAACAATGGAGGTGATGATCCACCCAAATAATCTGGCTGTTACTAAAATGATTAAATATAAGGACCTATTGGATACGCAAGGAAATCTGAAATCGTGGCAAGACCTTCAAGATCAGGGATTAAAAATTGATTGGTGGGCATATCTTCAAATTCAAAGTAGATACAAACAGGACAAGAAAGAATTTGGAATTAATAATAAACTCCAGCAATTAGATAAAATTTTATTAGGATCAGGCAAAAAAAATATAACAAAATTTTATAATTATTTATTAGAGATAGAATTAGAGGAAGAAATTGTTAAAGGGAACATGATAGTCTGGAGTAGGAATATAGGGCGTAGTATCACCTTAACAGAATGGGAAAAGGTCTGGGGTAGAAATAATAAAATCACAATATTGGTAGCGTACAAAAAAAATGCCTATAAAATGTTTTACAGGTGGCACCTTCCTCCTTCAAGATTAGCAAAGATGCACCCCAATATGAGTCTGAACTGCTGGAAATGTAAAAAAAAAAAAGAGGGAATTTTCTTCCAGATGTGGTGGTCTTGTACAGAAGCTCAAAAATATTGGCAGAAAATTAGAAATTGGCTGGAGGAAATGACAAGAGAACAGAGTCTTTTCTATTAGGGATTTTTGATAAACAACTACCAAAAAAAGTGAAATTTATAATAATACATATTTTGACAGCAGCCAGATTGGCTTTTGTACAATGTTGGAAACAGCCTCATGTTCCATCAGAGGAGATGATTATTCAAAAAATTTCAAGTTGTGCAGAAATGGACAAATTAACCTTGGCATTAAAAGACACTTCAGTATATTACGACAGCTGGAACTGCTGGTACAAATGGATAGACCAAAGATAGATTTCACACTAAAAGATAAAAAGATAGGATAGAATCGTAGTAGTGATACACACACACACACACACACACACACACACACACACACATATATATGGATTAATTGTGTATATGGCATAAAATAAGGATAAAAAGCAGGTGTCACAAACAGTTGAAGATGAAAATGTTTTTAATTGCTTTCCATCTTTTTCTTTCTATTCTTTTTTTTTCTTATTTTCTTTTTCTCTCTTACATTTATATATATATGTTGTTGGTCTATTTTAATTGTAAAATCAGTAAAGTGTATTTTTTTAAAAAGAAGAGTCTGGACAGCCATTTGTCTGAAATGGTATAGATTCTCCTGCTTGAGCGGGGCGGGGGGGCAGGGGTGGACTAGATGATCTCCAAAGTCCCTTCCAACTCTGTTATTCTATATTCTATGTTAAACTAACTAAAACTAATTTGCCCCTTTCAACACCTTCCTACAATATTTTATGCTTCTATGATTTTCATATATTTTCACTGGTGGAATCTCTTCGGCTACCAAATAACACTCAACCTCAAGTTCTTATAATTTTTATCTATTAGTTCTAATATTATTCCACACTTGGCCAATAAAAGAATTCATTCATTCATTCATTCATTCATATATTAAGACAAATATATTAATTTACCTACTTCTTTCAAGCGTTCCTCCTTTTCAAACGACTCTAAACATTGTTCTTCTCTGGATATGCTCTGCTGATGTCCTTTTTAATGTGCTACCCAGAACATCAAATCTGATTGAACCTGCCCAGAAAAGGGGCGGGGTGAGAAAGAGATTCTGGACACCATATTTCCGTTGCGGCATCCTAAAGTTACCCAAATTATTTTCCAGAAGTGACAATTCCCCACAAAGGAAGCCCAGGCACTGAGGCTAGTTTCCTGTCATTGAAGGAAGAGACTATTGAGAGCTATTGAGAACTACTGAGAACCCTAGCTGCAAGCTTTCGTTCTCAATCTCTTTACCCACATTAACCACTATTAGTTTTAACTGCTTTAAAAGAAAACAGTGACGTAAAAGCTGTCTCATGTGGAATAAGTGGTTGAATATATCCAGGGTTTGAAAAGCTCAGCTCAGAGATGTGCACAAAACGGTCCTGACAATGTAGCATCATTCATTGGCAGAAGACTCACAAATGTAAAGAGGTACAATTAACTTAAATCATGAAGCCCACATAAGAACCCACTGTCAGGGTTCCGGCAATTACCCCCATTTAAATCATGAGTCTCTAGCCAAACTTCTAAAACTTAAAGATTTATTAGGAGTAAACATGCTGGCACCGTATGGGTGTAGCCGACTCTGAGGCACATCATTCATTGTCACCCTTGACCCTGGTTTTCCCACCACCCCCTGGGTGTATCATAATTCATATTCTCCAATGGGACACATCCATAGCCAAGAGTCATCAATCATGCTCTCCAATTAGAATTTTGCATGGCAGGAAACTTCAGTCACCTAGAAACTATCTTTGAAAACATTTATGGAATGCAAGCTGCCCACTGCTCCCCCTCCCTTTCTCTTAGCAACTCTAAAAAGACCATAGAAATATTTTATCAGTTGACACCACCCCCTCACCAGACTCTTTTGTCAGCTGTCCCAGAACTAATTGCTTTGTCACTTCGTTTCTGATTCCTAAACAAATGGAGACCTCCTTGCTAACTGCAGTCTGCCTCCAATTCATTTCTCCTGGCTTGGAGTGAAACACTGACCGGATTTTAATTCCAACAGTTTGCAGGTGCTTCCATGCTCATATGACCAGCATGACTACATGCCAAGGCACACAGAGCATTGTTACCTTCCCACTGAGTGGTACCTATTTATTTACTCATATTTGTAATTAGAACAGCTAGGTTGCATAATATTTAAAACTTAAGCATAGTACACAAAATTATCTGCTATAATGTCCTACCAGTCAATGACTACTTCAGTTTCAACCGCAACAATACAAGAGCACACAACAGATACAAACTCAATGTTAACCACTCCAAACTCGATTGCAGAAAGTACGACTTCAGCAACAGAGTGGTCAATGCCTGGAATGTACTACTTGACTCTGTTGTTACATCCTCAAACCTCCCTTCTTTAACCTCAAACTATCCACTGTTGACCTCACCCCGTTCCTAAGAGGTCTGTAAGGGGCGTGCATATGCACAATAGTGCCTACCATCCCTGTCCTATTGTCCCCATTTATTCGTATCTATTTCCTGTATTCTTACTCATGTTTATACTTATCCCTATGATCTTGTAAGTGATTGACAAATCAAATAAATCAAATAAATAATAAATAAATTGGCAGGAGCTGGAGCAAGAATGAAAACTCACTGCATTGATGGGTTAATGCTCCTCATGTTTGGTGGGGGGCGGGGGGGGGGGAATAAATTTGAGAATAAACAAGTATGCTTTCAATCCCCTTTGTTCCAAGGAACCAGGTATCTCTACTTTGTACCTCTGAAGAGAGAATGAAATGCTTTATGTATCGCAGACAATCCTGGCTGTAATGAATATTACATGATGCTTTGACATGCTCTTCTCCACAGAGCTAGTGGTGTTGACGGAAGGAATCAGATCCACCTATTATCAGAATTGCTTGCAAACATCTTTGAGATTGGGAGATTGCTAATCTGAAGGCTTCTTCTCCATTTGTGGAACATAGAATAATTGATCTGGAAGGGACCTTGGAGGTCTTCTAGTCCAATCTCCTGCATCCCTATACCATTTCAGACAAATGGTTGTCCAGTCTCTTTTTTAAAGCCTCCAGTGATGGAGCCCCCACAACTTCTGAAGGCAAACAGTCCCACTGGTTGATCGCTCTCACTGTTAGGAAATTTCTACTTAGTTCTAGTTTTTTTTCTCTCTGTACCTGGTTTCCAACCCTTGCTTCTTGTCTTGCCTTTTGATGATTTGGAAAATAGTTTGACCCCTTCATCTTTCTAGGAGCTCCTCAAATCCTGGATCGCCACTACCATGTCACCTCTAGCTCTTCTTTTCATCAGACTAGACTTACCCAATTCCTGTAACCGTTCTGCACATGTTTTCGCCTCCGGTCCCTTAATTGTCTTGGTTGCTCTTCTCTACACTCTTTCCAGAGTCACAACATCTTTTTTTATGTTGTGAGGATCATAACTCGATGCAATATGTAGTATGAATCACTGGTGCACTTTGCTATCATGGCATTGACACCCCCACACAGGTGAGCCTATCAGATCAAAGATCTTGGAATATCCTGATCTCTGCATAAACAGAGGGATAGAATCAAGACCATGTGAAGTGTTAATATCACTTTATAATGCCTTGGTAAGTCCACACTTGGAATCCTGCATCCAGTTTTGGATGCCACGATGTAAAAAAAGATGTTGAGACTCTAGAAAGAGTGCAGAGAAGAGCAACGAAGATGATTAGGGGGCTGGAGGCTAAAATATATGAAGAATGGTTGCAGGAACTGGGTATGTCTAGTCTAATGAAAAGGAGGACTGGTGGGGGAGGTGACATATAGCAGTCTTCCAATATCTCAGGGGCTGCCACAAGAAGTGGGAGTCAAGCTATTCTCCAAAGCACCCGAGGGCAGGACAAGAAGCAACAGGTTGAAACTAATAAAGGAGAGAAGCAACTTAGAACTAAGGAGAAATTTCCTGACAGTGAGAAAAACTACTTAGTGGAACAACTTGCCTCCAAAAGTTGTGAATGCTCCAACACTGGAAGATTTTAAGAAGAGGTTGGATAACCATTTGTCTGAAGTGGTGTGGGGTTTCCCGCCTAAGCAGTGGGTTTGACTAGAAGATCTCCAAGGTCCCTTCCAATTATTCTATTCTATTCTATTCTATGCTATGCTATGCTATGCTATGCTATGCTATGCTATGCTATGCTATGCTATGC